GTGTGTTAGAGTTTTGGAAAAATTTTTTATTTCTAAGAAAGAGACAGAGGAACATACAATGTTTTGCTACTCTAGATTTGCTATGAAGGCTATGCCTGCTGATAGAAGTCTACAAATGTTTGCAGTGTTTGCTTTTACTACTAATTAATTCTATATTATTTGAACTTTATAGGAGCAGAATGAATTTGTTAACTAGTTGTGTTAGCAGTTTAAAAAATTCTAACTATCCTATTTAATCCTTACTACCTAAATCTTTTCTTTGCTTACATTTTGCTTGCCTTATCCTTTTATTTTCAATCTTTTGATACAATTTTAAATTATCTTTGGCAAGCAATTATTGTATTGCTTTGTGGTTTTTGCTCCAACCAAGGATCTCTAAAAATTATTAAAAGGGCTTAAAAGTGTTGACATTTGTTAACATAACCATTACACCTGGAGTTATTTCTACTATCTTGCTTTATGCCTCAATTTTCTGTTTACTTTCTATTTTTCCTTATGCTATATGTGTAGTATTTTGCTTGCTTTTATTTCTGCCATGATTTGGAAGCTAGACTTCATGTTTTAAATTTTATGAGTGGTGATTACATAATAAATGACTTCATAAATTCAAATGCACCTGTCTGGAAAATAACTGTCCAGTTATTCAAGGAATAGAAGGCTTAGTGCAGGAACTTGGGAACTGGTGCTAATGTTGAATAACAGGATGTGAAGGTCAATACATGCACCTTCAGTATCTGAGCCAGAAGGTATGAAACAGGAGAGTCTCAGGACTCCCCGGGAAGCCACTGCAAAATCTTGGACTGTGCTCTTTTCTAGCTGTAACTGTCTCAGGAGAACAATGACTTCTCCTTTTAGACCTCTGAAGAGTATCTCTCCTGGTCAAAAGCCAACCCACAACCACATAGGAAAGGCAATGACCCTGGGAAAGGTGGTTCAGGGCTTCTCTGCAGCAACGCCAAAGGATAACGAGTCAATAATAGACCACTAGAAGGCCATACTTGTTGTTTTATTAAAATAAAGCTGGGCATGGCAGCACAAATCTATAATCCCAGTACTCAGGAGGCCAAGGCAAGAGGATTGTGAGTTCAAGGCCAACCCGGATTACACAGTGAGACTTTGTCTCAAAATACAAATACAAATTTTAAAAAATTAAAATATACAGCATTAATTTAACTCTTTATTATTATATGGGATGAGAAACCAAGTGGTCTTCCTTCCTCAACTCTCCCTATTTTTAGTAATTTTAGCTGCATGACTTAAAATGTACTTGTCTGTGTTCTACTTAGGGTTTTTTTGGGAATCCGAATCAGTAGAGAATATATGTGGATTTATGCAAGGAGAGTTAGTTACCAGGTCGGCCTCCGGGATCAGAGGTGAAAGAGTCCATAATGGCTGTACGCTGCAGTAGCTGTGTAGCCCGAGAGGATGGAAGTTGCAGGACAAGAAGGATCAAGGATGCAGACACCCAGCCCAAAGTGAAGGGCCTGGAAGCTCCCTGGAGGGTTGGCCCTGTGAATCTAAACTGTGCCCCACTCATCTGCTAGGCATCTCTCATTCCATTCTAGTTGACAAACCATGACTAATGGTTGGAGTTCACCTGAGACTACTCTTTATATTCTGGTCCCTATGACCGCATTAATAATTGTGCATGTGCATGTGCGTGGGTGTGTGTGTGTGTGTGTATAATTGATTTCAGTAAAGTAATCTTTGGGGCTTCTTTTTTTTTAGATTAGATAATTCTTTATGTTGAAATCTATTTTAAATTGCCAAGATTTTTGGAGCCGTTGATTGTTTTTAGTAAAGCACATTGAATACACATTCAATTAGCTTGATTTCATTTGTAAAGTCAAGAATGTTTTCATTTACTATTGCCTAGCTTTTCTTCTTCAGTAGGATTAATAAGATAAATGCTGGTCTCTCTTTTCCATATTAATTATTTTTAATCCCTCATTGATGAGGCAATATTTTGTTTTCTACTTTGTTTTCTCATTAGTATGCTTTTTCTGTGGTGCCATATTTATTGTTTTTCTACATCCCAAGTGGATATCATTGCGTAATGCATTATAAATTCCATGAAATCACTAACTTAGCTATCTGGCTTTCAATATGCCTTGTTCTTGTTTTTTGTTTGTTTTTCTTTTCCTTTTTATTGAGTTTATTGGAACATTCTAGGTATACAGTACAGTTACATTCATTACTGGGATCTTGTACCTTTACATGACAGATCTTGGTTCTCATTTTTTCCTCTTGTCCCTGCCCTCCCTTCACCCCCCTCCTCCCCTCCCCATTTACATGCCTTGTTCTTGTTTAGTAGGATCATTTCAGTACTTGTCCATGGAAAACACTGGTAAAGAGTTTCTAAAAACATTTTGATTGAATATTTTTAAAAATCTACTTTAAAGGGAGAAAAATCACATTTTACTCCAGAAATCTGCATTTTAGGGCTGGGGATTTAGCTCAGTGGTTCCACCACCTGCTTCACAAGCATAAGGTCCCGATTTCAATCTCTGGTACAAAAAAAAAAAAAAATCTGCATTTTACTTTATTTCTCTGCTTCTCTTGAGTTAGTTACTTCTGTAGGCTTGTGTTAGCTCTTCTCTCTTCAGTCACCCTTTTAGAGTGAAGTATAATCAGGCTGGGGCTGGAGGCCTAAGTGTAATCCACTCAGTTTCAGGCTGGAAAGAGAGAAGATAGTAAGTTTTCTATTCAATGAAGGAGCAGGTGCCTTTCAAGAGCTCTGCTGGTGCATTTCACCTATTTGAAGGACTCTTGGACCCAGTCAAAGGCAGATGCCTGGAGGAGAGACTCTCTATGAAGCATACAATGCCTGCACTCCAACTGGTGGCTTCTTGGAGTAGAAATTAAAATATCTTATGTCACTAAGGTTGGAAATCCATGATACACTCCAGTGGGCATTGAGAAAGAGCTCTCTGCCTGCCCTCCTCCCCTCGAGGGCCAGCTGTCAATTGTGATTCATTCTTAAGGAGATGACTTCATTTTCTCCAGAATCTGGAGAATGCACATCTCTTACTCCCACCCAGCAAGGATAAGCTCGGGTAGGGTAGCATCTAAATTCTTGGGTCAAATGTGGAAAAGATGTGATTGCCCTGGAAGCAAAGTATGGCCATTGATTCACGCTCCTAGACGTGAAAGAAAGACAAATGGAGTTAAAATCAAAAGTAGAATCGTTTCCAGGCAGGGACGGAGCCAAGAAGGGGCCCAGGTCCTCCCCTTTACCCAGAGCACCCTTCAGCATTGGCATCCTGTCCCCTGAATCAGAGTCATTGTCTGGCTCTAATGCAAACACTGGCTCCATTGTGACTGTGCAGGGACGCAGCCCCACATGCACTGCTTTGTGCCCGCCTGGGGCTTCTTCGGGTTTATCCCACTGAGCTGTGACTCAGGCAGTGCTCCAGAAGGGCCTTCATCCAGGGTGTGCCATGGGGATTTGTGCTGAGTTATTACACAAGAGCTGCCAGGTAAATCGCTTTGCAATCCCATGGAAAATGTCACATCAGGGGCAAAGTCTGGGTGCTTTCTGTGTGAATCCGGGGGTTTGTTTGGGTCAGAGTCATGATGGCTGAAGTTTTGTACTTATACTTTTGTGCCACACTTGGATGGACCTCAAACTGCCTGGAAAGTTCTAGAAAAACTTATAATCCATATGTCAAATGTCCTAAGGAATTCTCATGAAGTCTAGTGTAAGGGGTGGTTTCCAATAGACAAGGCTACACTTAAACTTCTCAAACTTACTTTGCATTAGACTTATCTGTGAAACTTGTAAACTACAGATTCCTGAGCCATATTCCCTGGTATTTTGATCCATAGGTCTGGAGTTGGGACTAGGAATCTGTTTTTATGAGTATTCTAAAGTATTTCTAATGCAAGAAGGTCACATAATAAACTCCACTTAAAAAGTACTGATTTGGGGTTGCAGAGAGGATGTAGCCCAGGGATACAGCATAGGTTTATCATGTGCCAGGCCCTGGGTTCAATTCTGAGCACCAACCAAACTGGTTTTTGATAAACACTGGGCCAAGAATGAGTTCCTCAGGAACCTCAGAGGAGTGACTATAAATCTCCTACAGTCTGAGCATTTCAATCACTGAGTGGCTGTTAGGATAAGTGAGGCTATCTTAGAGGTCAAGGGGAGAGCAAGCAAGGGAGGAAACTTTCCTTCTATTGGGGGCAGACTAGTGAGCTCAGTTGGGAAACCCCAAGGACAGAGAATGAAATTGAATATTTCCGTATCAATCAGTATCTATCTGTCCACACCCCCTCTAAGGGAAACCACCTGGTTTCTAGGTGGCTGTATCAAGGACCACAAGAGGGTGCTTCCATAGACACAGCTGATTAGACCATTATGGCAGGAGATTCTCAGCTGAGATAGGGCATGAAGTGGCATGAAGAGGTGAACTAGGCCAATCAGATTACCTGTGTTGGAAATTTGGATTGGGAAACGTGGAGAACTCAGACTGGTTATCAGTAGGTCACCGTTTATCAAAAGGTCACATCAGAGCAAGAGAGGCTGGGGAAGCCATGGGAAACTGAATAAGGAGAGGATGCTGTTCAGCGGAGGGAAGAAATGACAACAGATTCACCAGCAGAATAAAAATGTGAAGAAATTTTGAGAAATAAGAATAATAAGAAACCTGGTTAATAGCGCCAGAGAAGAACAGATTATAAATGCTCTCCAGCTTAAGGAATATGTAATCTTTCGGAGCAAGCTTAAGGTCTAGGGCTGAGAGGATCACTACCTGGTAGTTTTTGCCCCATATGCATGAGACCCTGTGTTTGATCCCCTGCAACACATACACACACACACACACACACACACACACACACACACACACACACACCAGTCTCCATTCCTGGCAATAAAATGCCTAATAACAATAAAATAGGAGCAACATTAAATGGGTTCTTCTTGTGTGTAATATATTTGTTGAGTGCTTCTCATTTTTAATATCTGCCTGTTCTACTTTATCACCTCACTTTAGGATTAAAGAAAATTAATGGACTACCCAGCCCTGACCTGTCCAATGTGGTAGCTACTAATCACATGTGGTTATTAAGCACTTAAAATGTGGCTGCTCCAAATTAAGATATGCAGTAAGTATAAACATTTTTGAAATTTAGTACAAATATTTTGAAATATAGTACAAAACTTTGAAATAGGGCATAAAAATTTAAATAATATAAAATATCTCATTAAAATTGTAATTGATAACACATTAAAATGATATGTGTTGCATATATGTTGATATATGCAATAAATGATATGTTCCATATAATAGATTCAATAAAATATGATGTTAAAATTAATTTCACTTTTTAAAAACATTGGTGATAGCTACTAGAAGATTAAAAGTACATACATGGCTCTTACTTGTGATTTACATTGTTTCTTTTGAAAAGCACTGATCTAGCCTGTTGTTTTATGAGACAAAAATAGAGTAGTGCGTGAAAGGAAGAAAAGCATAAACCCTTCCATTAGGCTATACTTACTACCTCTCTTTGCAAGCAAAATAAATTTGGTAAATACGGACTCAGTACATTACGTAGTCTCCTAAGATGGCTGCCATAATTCTTTCCTCACTATGTTTCCCTTCCCTCAGCCCATTTTCCCTTCCCTTAAATCTGGGCTGGCCTTGTAACCTGCTGTGGCCAACAGAATGTTATGGAAGTATAGTTTTGAGTGTAGCCTTTAGGAAGCCTGGTTGCTTCTACTTTTGCTCTAGGTGCCAAGCATTAAGCTGGAAAACAAAACAAAACAAAACCTGACTAGACCAGAGAGAGAGAGAGAGAGAGAGAGATGGAAAGAGAGGGACAGAGACAGACAGACCCCCTCTAGGAGGAGCATCTAAGTGCCAGACATGAGTGATGCCTTCCAGAACCTTCTGGAAGTGCAAGTGGCCAGCAACAGTGATCCCAACACATGCTATGTGGAGCAGGCAAACTACTCAGCCAAGCACAACCTCAAAGGCAGAATCATGAAAAGCAATACATTTTTGTTGTTTTAAGGCACTAGGTTTTGGACTGGCTTGTTACAGACAAAGGGTGCTCACTACACACGCGATCATGTGATAGGAAGGCTCTAAGAAAGATGACTGCCAAGCACACTTTCTTCCTTCAGTGAGGTTACAATCACACACATACACAAAAGCAGCTTCAGCATGAGATGTGGGAGCCCAGAGGAGAAGAGTTTTAAGTTCATATTCCAGTAGCTGTGGAGGATCCTCAACCAGGCCTTCCTATGCTCAGAATAAGGACCCTTTTGGGACCCTTCCAGTTGTGCATTCTCTGCTGGCTCTCAGCAGGTCCTAGGGATTCAGACTAAGATTTTGCAGTCCTTTTGTGATAGGAGAAAAGTGACCACTCCAGCCATCTCTTCTGACTTCCTCTAAAGACAGATGCACAGGGCTAACTGTTGCTCCCAAAAGGAGCACAAGGAGAGAGCTAGAACAAGTCACAAACAGATACTGGGCAGGTACTAACATTTTTATTCTCCTCTAGAACAGATTTCTTGACATCTCCAGAAAGATGGAAATAGGAGCCTGTGCGGCCTTTGAACTTTCATTTTGATTTCATGGTCAGGGTTCTCCGTCCCTCATCCCTTTTGACTGTCTACACCAAGAGTTCTCTAGGAACTTTTTTCCCATGTGGTTCCACTGTCCAGTTTAAGATGTACCCTGACACAGCAATACATCCCCTTTTGTGCCTAGTTGGCCACTTGCATCTCTGTGGACTTCTTGCCTGTTGGGCACATGTGGCCTGTGTGGTGGCCACAGAATCCCTTAGTTACATCTCCCTACTGTAGCAAATGGCTTACAGCCTGATGAAATGCAATTGCTAAACTGTGAGTGATTCAGCCAGAAAGTCATCCTCATAAGTTTCTGACTGAGAGCTCGAAATGCTTCAGCATTGGCACTGTGGACCATCATTAAAAACAGAGCAGAACAAGGACACTAAGAGAATAGTGCAGACCCTTGCCACTCCTTGCTTGGGATGTTATGGAAAGAGACCTGTTTGGTCTGCTGTACAACCACATCAATCATTGAAGCAAAGAGCTTTGTGGTGAAAGCAGACTGAGAATTAAGGTCCCTCTTACCCTGAATCCCTTCTTCCCACAACCCTACATGTAAAGAGAAATTTTCTGTAAAGTTCCCATCTACTTAAAGCCGGACCTACCAGAGAAGAAACAGTTCCCTCTGGTCCCTTCCCTGTGCTTTCATGAGCTAAACTCATCACAGAAAAAAAGACTGAAGTCTGTCAACCCATCTGGGTAGACGTCACCACACCTACTATCCTTTATTTCAGTTCCACAGAGAACGGCCTTCTGTTCAAAGGGCCAAACAAAATTTGTCCCAGACCATTGTCTGCTTTCCAGAGCTCATTGATTTCTCTTAAGAATCATCTTTTTATTCCTCTAAAAACTATCTGCATTCCCCATCCTACCCCTCCCTACAGGAAAGAATGTATAAGCTTCTGGGTCATGTTGGGCTTGAGGGTAATCACATCCTGTGATTGGGCCCGTGCATCTCCTAAATTTGTGTCTGTTCTCCAATTAACCTGTCCATGTCAGTTTTTTCCAGGAAACCTTCAGCTGACAGGGGGAAATTTCACTCCTCTGTCCTAATAATGAATGGTAGGTTGATAAGAGGAAAGCATGAACACATTTAATCATAGTTTTATGAGGGGGAACTTCAGATTGAGGTCTCCAAGATCCAGGGTGAACTAACCATTTTTATGCTTAGGATCAATGAATCACACACAGCGACATAGAAGTGTGATTGGATAAAAAGCTCTGTTCTTATAGTAGTAGATTGAGGGGAAAAAACCCTGCAATTCGGCGCTTCTTGACCCCTGAGTTGTAGCATTTATTTCCCCCAGGTATGGAGCAGGAGGATTTTCTCTGGAATGAGGGGGCTACGACCTACAATCAAATCAAGTAGGTCAGAGAATTTCTTTATAGCTAACTCTTACACAAAAAGGCAGACGAGTTAGATTAATAGTTTTAGGTATTGGAGCCAGTTCTGGGGCAAAGAAGTTCTGGTTTCCATGGTCTACCTTGGGAAGAGGAAATTCTACTCTCTGCAGATTGCCTTGGGGCAGCATGAGGAGTGAAAGGCAGGAAGACATCAGAGAGGCACTTTGCTTCCACAACCTTCATTTTGAGAAATCGTTTCCGAATCCCAGTAAATCTTTACTATGACAGGAGGCCTCCACATGGAAGAGCAAATCGAGGCACACAGAACTTGTGGAATTATCTGAGATTTCTCACTAGAGTATGCTGGTGCTTTCAGGAGAAAGTGGTTGACTGGACTAATAACCCACAAAATGATGCAATGGTTACTTCAAACTGAAGACACTTTGGAGATGGAGAAAATAAACTTTCTTTTGAGCTTCCCTTATCAGAATAAAGGTAGAGCTTTCCATGAATGGAGTTGTGGTGAATCCCATCTCCAGAAGAGGTACAGTCAAGGAGACTAATTATTAGCATAATAGGGAGACTTTTCATAAACAAACATCATCACCAACTGTCACACTTTCTGTGTGTCTCCACTAACAGACTGTTGGTGTTCCCATGGAAGCCCTGTGCATTCCCTTATTAAGTTAGGACATAACATTTAGTCCTAGGGGCTGGGTGTTTACCTCTCAGCTCCACCACCTGCCTCGCAAGTGCAAGGACCCGAGTTCAATCCCTGGTGCTCAAACCAAAAACATTTAGCCCTAAAAATTCCACCCTTAGCGTTCCTCATGGATGTGAATGGAAGAGGAAGGTTTTCTCCCAGCAGGATAAATGTGGGACTTCAGAAAATAGAACCAAGAGATGGATGGAGAAGCCACTACATGAGCTTAGGAATAGAAGAAGGAAACCATGGGGCAGATATGGGCAATGTTCTCCTGTGGCTGAAGCAGAGGATGAGTGAGATCAGGAATTGGAGTTTAAGCCTGGATAACAAGTTTAAAGACAGTTCAAAGGAGAGCTTAGAACGTAAGATCTGGATGCATCCTATGATATTGGTATGCAATTGGCCATCCATATCTGTAGTTTCTAAATCCACACATTCAACCAACCACAGATGGAAAATACTTCAAAAGACATAGCTGCATCTGTACCGAACATGTACAGGTTTTTATGTGGCCATTATTCCTCAAACAGTACAGTATACAACCATTTACACTGTATTCAGTATTATAAAAAACCTAGAGATGATTTAAAGTAGACCACATGATGGATATATGTTATATGCCAATATGATATCATTTTATATAAAGGAATCAAACATCCCCAAGTTTCAGTATCCTTAGGGGTCCTGGAATCAATCCTCTCTTAGGGGCCAGAGATTTAGCTCAGTGGTGCCACCACCTGCCTCGCAAGTGCGAGATCCTGAGTTTGATCCCCAGTATGAGAAAAAAAGCATCGGAATCAATCCTCTTTCAGGTAAAGAGAAGTGATTGTATTTCTTTTAATTTTCATCCATTTCATTTTGGTTCCTGGCTTACAGCTCCCTTGACCTTATTTCCCAAGTGAGCAAGGCAAGAATAATAGATTTTGTTAAAAATCTTTGGCCTCTTGCCCTGATTCCCGAAGCAGCTCTAGAAAAGCCTCAGAATCATAAAGGTGAAAGATAGTCTTTTATTATTTACAAGCTCTTCCAAAACCAGCTGAGTTCATGTTAATGAAGTGACTTGGATAGTCCCTAGACAACCACAGGATAGGGGGGCTAGTTGTCAGAGGAACCAGGTATATAGCAGAGAGCAGGAATTTTTCCCTTCTGGGAAAGGGGAGAGAGGCTGAATGTTAAATCAATCATCAGTGGCCAGCGACTTAATCAATCAAGCCTATGTGGTGAAGCTTCTATAAAACTCCCCAAAAGACTGAGTTCATAGAACTTCCCACAGCTGACACATGCTGGCTCCTGGGAGGTCCCTCCCCAGTGTTATGGTTTGAATCTAATAGGTTCCCCAAACACTCATGTGCTGGAATCTTGGTCCTCAGTGCAACAGTGTCAGAGGCTGGGCTTCAGGAGGATGACTGGATCACGAAGGTTTTCACTTCATTGTTGGGTCCGACATAGTCAGAGACCACAGGAGCAGAAGACAAAGAAACACCTGAGCCCTTAACCTGCTACGCATTGAAGGTATAATTTGTGTTTTCTTTTATGATAGACAGGGGCTTAAAAGTGGTTTTTGCTGGGGGCAGGGATGTAGCTCAGTGGCACTGTGCCTGCCTGGCAAGTGCAAGGTCCTGAATTCAATCCCTGGTACCGCGAAAAACCAACAGATAAACAAAAAGTCGTTTTTGCCAAAGACCATGGCTCTTCACTTGGCTGTATAAATGGCCAATTGGTAACTAAAAAGGAGAACAAAAGTTTGGCCTTCATTTTGTAAAACTGTGGGTCAAATCCTCCCTAGCTCTGCATCTCAGCACATTAGTCATTTAGGGAGTATTTGCCTAAACACTGGCAAAGCAAAGTTTATCAGCCCTAAATTGACCTCCCTGTTTTGTCATTGTTCCAGACCAAGAGCATCTGTACCCAGAGGTCTCCACGGCCCAGACCCATGGCCACCTTGGATTCTAGCCAGACGTCACACGACTGAGACTGACCCAAGGCAGGAGAGTCCTTGTCATGGGAACCAAATTATCTCTCAAGTCATGACAGCTACAAAGTCAGTTGAGCTACAAAGCCAGGCCCGAGAGAGTGATCAACCAGAACCCTGCCCACTATAACAGCCCCTACAACGGATCCCTTTCTTTCACTCATGGGCCAGTCTGGTCCTATTCGTCAGAGCATGTCTCCTCCAGCTACTCAAGCTGGGGTCCTTTCCTCATTCCCTTACTTTCTTGTTGGCCTGGAAATGCATCCTGTTGCTTTAGTTTTAATTTCCATTAGCACTAACACTAGAAGCCATAGTAGGTAGTGACGGGATAAGCCATTCATAGATTTATAATTTAGTGGCATTATTGGGAGGGAGTGGAAACTTTAGAGGTGGCGCCTCATTGACAGGAGTGGGTCGTGGCTGTGTGACCTTGGGGACTGTATCTGGTCCCCAGTCCCTCCCTCTCTGGCTCCTTCCTTCTCCCTCAGCTTCCTGGCTGCCGTGAGGTGAGCAGTTGTCTCCACTTGCTCTTATACTCCTCTGTGTCTGCATACTACAGGCCTAAAAAATGATGGGGCCAGCCCACCATGGACTGCAACCTTGGACCCCGTGAGCCATAATAAACCTTAACTCCTCTAAGTCATTTTTTTTTTTAGGTATTTTGTCATAGTAAAGGAAGCTAACTAAACAATTGGCATCGTTTATCCTTTGTAGCATGTATTTTTCTTTTGTTTTTTCTTTACATTACTGAGGATTGGACTCAGAGCCTTTGTACTGAGTTATATCTCAGCCTATAATTATTTTATTCTCTATTTTATAACAGGTTCTCTCCAAGTCACTGAGCTGCTCAGGCTGAGGTCAAACCTTCAGTCCTCCTGCCCCAGCCTTCCAGAGCACTGGGATTAGAGGTGTGCGCCGACACTCCTGGCTTTAATATTCATTATAATAACCCTAAACAAGTGCTTCCTGAAGTTATGCATACCACTCTTGCCAATTAACCCGATCCAAAGGGAGAGCTGTTGGAACTCTGATTCATAGTAACCAGGAAAAGAACCCGAGGCTGGTGATCGGCATTGAAAGTGGAGAAGGGCAGTCTTGGGGACTGAGCCCACAAACTGTGGGACCAGACACAATCACCATTGGGGGTCAGGGTCAGAACTAGAGGACGCCCAGCTAGGCTGGGCTGCAGACTAGCACCCGCTTGGTGGGGGTGGGGAGAAACCCTCCACACTGTTGGTCACGGGAATCTGTGTTGACTGTTGAGTAAGAAAGAGTTCAGAGAAAGCTGAGCTTGGTTTTTTCCCTGTGTTCACGAAGTTCTTTAACTCACCTCCCTTGTTAGAGCGATGAAGGAGAAAGACCAGCTTACCTCAGAGAGCCTTGAGCCAAGAGCTGTGGAAAGGCCAAATGGAGCTTGGGCTGGGCTCTGCTGCCACTGCATGCCATCCTCCAAGTCACACACAGGATGCTGGTGCAGCGGGGAATGGACAGAATGCTCCTGTCCCTGCCCAGCCATATCCCCTGCTTTCTTTCTCCAGGCAGATTGCGACACCAGTGTTGGTCCCAAAAGCCAACGGCTTGTGGCCCTCTGCCCTGTCCCATACCATCCTGTGTCACCCGCAGGGAAGCTGTTCCCAAGAGCTGGCCAGGAGCCAAGTGGGCTGAGCATCTTTGTTCTTTTCAACTGTCACTGACTGCTCCCCACCCCTATCCCCCCGGTGTGATTTGAGGATTTCCCATTTTCCTCCCTGCTGTGTTTCTTGCTCAGAGTAATTTGTTTCCTAGGTCATCTCAGCTGCTGTCTTATTCAAGCAAAACTAGAGACACAAAGAAAAATGAAAATCGGTGAGGGTTGTTTGGGCCTATTGTTTGCACTACAAAGACACTGGATAATCACCTAATCCTGCACCCACTGCCTTTATCCCACGGCCCTAGAAGGCACCTGTAGGTGCTTTGTTGGCATCATTCAGAAGTTTTCTTAATCAAGTTCAATTTACCTCCTCAATGGCAGCACTGCGGTACATCGACCACACGGTGCAAAAGGTCACACTGCGTACACCTCTCTCATCGGCCGCTGCTTGCTCCCTATTCTTTCCAACCTACTGTCTTGGCTGCTTCCCCTGCATCAGTAAACAGGTCTCTTGATTGCTCCCTGAGCTCGCCTTGTGTTTTTCCACCTCACGACCTGTGTCCCCACCACCTGCCCTCATGGAATGTCCTCCCTACCTGTTTCCACTCCACCAGATTGGATTCATTTCTCCTTTATTCAACACCAACTGCAGGCTGGCCCCTGGCCAGTACTTCTCTATGGGTTATCTCATCCTGCAAGGCCCCGCATAAATCGCTTCTTATCTGTGAAGTTTTCGGGGGCTACCTCAGCTGGAAATGACCGCTTCCTCCTTCCTTTTATACTTATTGTCTGTACTGTTCAGTTGGCACTTGGTACATCCTAGCACTTTATAATCAATCATTCACCTGCTCATTCATACATTTTTAAACAAATATTTACTGAATGGTCATTTTTTTTCTGGACACTGATAGATAGTGAATATATAGAGATGAAGAGGACACCGGGTTTTCCCCCCAAGAAACAGTCTAATGGTGAAAACTGACATCCAAGCAGATGCTCATCCCAAGGAGACAGTCGGGGACCACCCAGAAAGAGAATGAAATGATCAAATGCTGGGGTGAACCCCACACAGATCAAGCTCATTTTGTGCTTTCACAGCAGAATCACACACAGACATAGAGGGGATCCAGGGCTCACATAGGGCTCTGGAGTTAAAGACTCAGTAACCACAAAGACTCTTCTAACACTGAGGCAGGCGAGGCTCAGCCTCCTGAGGACCTGCCGTGAGCTCAGACCCTGACCACCAGGCCAGACACTCTGCATGTTTAAATTCGTTTGTGCATGAAGGAGCAGGCACTAACCAGTCAAGACCCACACTCTCGACCAGTTTGGAGCCCTTATTTGCATGGAGGACCCAGATGGGAATTTCAGTGGGAGTATTTCCTATCTTAGCTACCCCATTCCCTGGTGTGACCTGCTTTGGATCAGAGCAATTTTGAAATGACCAATGTGCTTTTAGTTCTTTGCTTCTGTTTTGTTTTGTTTTGTTTTTCTTTTCCCAGCCCTTCTCTAGCTAGAAAACTAACCTCTTGGGATTGAGTGGAAGCTCAGTGACAGAGCACATGGTCTTTGATTCAATCCCCACATCACACATAGACACATAGACACACGTGCCCATCCCCCACCCCCACCCCCGCTCAGCACACTGGAACTTGTGAAAAGTCGCCTGATTCTAAAATTACAAAATAACCAACTCTTCTGTTTGCAAGCATTTCAGTTCTCAAATAAAAAATATTTTGCTTCTGTTCACAAACTCCTCAAACACAACTGTGGCCATCTTCCATCTTTCTCACACAAACACAAATAGAGCTGTCTTCCCCAAAATTATAAAACAAAGGAAGTTTGTGAACCAAGGTACCACTGTAAAGCCAATTAAGGTCTTTTAAATGTCTTTTCTTTTTTTCTTCCTGATGGTGCTGGGGATGCTGGCCAAGTGCTGTAGCACTGAGCTGCATCCCCAACTACTAATGCCCAGAGCCACACCTTGGACATGTCCATCTTTCTCTGTTTTTTCAGCATGACTCTTCTCACTGGGTGATCACCCACATGCTCGACCCATTAACACCTATCTCCCCTCAGTTTCCACGTCCCTTTTAACGGCAGACCTCCCTCCCAGACAGATCTAAGCTCTCCCCTCTTCTTCCTATGCCCCATGCCAATGCTAACTCTTACCTGGGGATCATATAACTTTATTTTGGTAGCTCCACTTTTATTACTGCTTCTGCTTTTAATTAGCAGCCAGAAAAGTATATAAAAATAGGTATTTGGCCAGATTTCTCATTTATTTAAAAGTTTGTATTAGTTTGTATTAGGTTTAGGAAAAAATTCAAAATGCTTACCATACCCCCATGGCCTGCCATTACCCTCCCAATTCTCCTGACTCCTCCCTCTGCTTCTTCATGGCTATGGTCACGCTGCTCTGCCCTCACTTCTCCAGATTGATGGACTTTGTACTACTCTTTTGTGGGGATGCTGGGGATCAGACCCAGGACTTCATGCATTCTAATCATGAGTCCTGCCATAAACTAAACCCAGCCCCTGTTCCTACTGCTCTGAGGGGAAGGGTCTCATTCTACTCTTAGCTTCAGTAACCACTAACTTCAGCTGGCCCATCACGTCTCAGTTCAATGTCCATTCTTCCAAATCAGACCTTTCTTTGAAGCATGCACTGCAATTCTTTAATCACTGTTCCTTTACAGCAAACCATTCCCGTCCTCACGTCTTCTTATTTATGGGGCTGTTTGTCTAGCATCTACCCTGCCTCCTCCACTCCCATGCGCGCACACACATGCACCCCTCACTGTGTAGCCCACTGCCACATGTTTAGAGCCAGGCGCAAAGCAGGGTCCCTAAAACTCAGTAGTTTGTTGTTGAGTTGGTGTGGGACAGGCGGTGAGAAAGAGACACACCAGAGGTTGAGAGAATTCAGGAATACACTGAGTCGTGGCGAAGGCTTCAAGGGAGAAACAGCTTTTGATGTAGGATTTAAAAAATGGGTGAGGTGGAACAGGCAGAGGGGAGTGGCAAGGAAGGAGTGGGTGGAGGGAGGGCCTATCGGGTGGATGGACAACCTGTCTGGAGAAAGCCAGGTGGTGTCTGAGAAGCGATGAGTAACCAGGGTGTCTGGAACACAGGACTTAGGAAGGGAAGGGGTGCAGCCACAGTTGGCTTTAGGACCTATTTTTAAATCCTCAGGAGGGGACGACAGGTGGCCATGAGGCTTCCCTGAACAAGCTGACCCTTCCCTTCCTGCAGGGCAGGGACCTGGGTTATTCCATACAGATGGATTCCCTTTAATTAGCTCTCTCTCATGGGTTGAAGGGCAATGGGCCAGCACCTTTCAGCCCCTGCTCCTTCCTGCTCCTTCCCCATCTCCAGGCACCTGGATGGCAGCCTGGAGCCAGTTTCCATTCGAGGTGGAGACTCAAGGTCATATAACTGTCACATGGATTGTTTCATGTCGTTCCATGTTAGGAAACGGGAGTTTGGACAATTTTTATGGAAGAAAATTTGGACAGAATTTGTACAATTCCTCCACAGGCATTTGACTGGGGTTTGAAACCATGTTCAGGAGTGGACCCTCTTGATGCATGGAGGCCACTAAAATTCTACCTGCTACACACAAGACTCCCTGAACTTGTGACCCACTGTTGAAAACATGGATGGCGCCTCTGTTCAGCAGGTTATAGTTTCAAAGGGCAATTTATTAAGTGCTTGCCACTCACCTTGTTAGGTACTTTCCATGAGTTATGTCATTAGTTCTCACATTCATCCTATCAGGGAAGCACCAAGATCCCTCTCCTAGATAAGGAAACTGAAGCTCAGAAGGATTAAGTAATGTGCCCAAGATCACACAGCTTGTGGGTGGTGGAGTCTACATAGGAACTGAGGTCAGTCTGGAGCAAAACCTATGCTCTTGGTTATTTTCCTAGGTTGCTATTTCAAAGACAAAGAATACTGGTTGGGTCTTGGGGAACTGTCAATATTACCTAAAAAAAATTTTTTTTCCTAAATGG